GTCTCCCTATGTCATTTAAATGACCAATAATTTTATTGCCCCTATAAGACCTAGAGAGGCCAAGGCCACAACCCCACCAGGTCCCCACCATGTTGTGCTGCACGAGGTAACGGATGGTCTCACGGATGCCTGAACTGATGAGATTGGATGTGTAGCCCAGAAAGATGGTGCAGCCAGTAAGTGGGCGGCGGCTCTTGGTCAGGTCTGCATGGTGGTCTTCATCCTGCGACAGCGGCTCTAGTTTCTTCTCTATCTAGGTGTAAGGGCAGGGTCAAGTTACCCTCTGGCCCCCAAGCCCTAGCATCTACCACTTCTACCTGGAATACATGGGGCCAGGGAACGAACGCCCCCTGTGCAGGCTCTGCCCCATCCACAGCCCAAACCTCAGGGCACACGCTCAGGTTTTACCCCCTTTCCAAGGAATCGGAGAGCACGACTTTTGCAGGCCCGGTCCCCTTCCCCAACCGAGCCTGACTTAGGTTCCTCAACCGCACTGTTCTGAACACTTTCACTCGTTACCTACGACCCGCCTCCTATCTAGAATCAATCCCAACTTCATCCTGATGGTAGGATGTTTTGGGGATGAGGGGACGACGTCCTCTCCCCAGCACAGAAGCTGGCGCCCAGAATGGGCCCTGCCTCTCTCCACCTATTGGACCGCCCAACACAGGACACGCCTCCTTCCCGAGGGAGCCCCGCCCCCTCCAAGTACTGCATTGCCGCTACTCGAGGCCACACCCCCTCAATCCAGGAAGTTCCGCCCCGGGCTTCACCATGGCGTTGACTTGCTGCACTGCGCGCCCGAAGTTGGTGGCCTGGAAGCCAGTGGTGCCGAAGGCCTCCAGTAGCGCACGGTAGTCCACGCCGCGGCTGAAGTCGTAGCCTCGGACTTGGGAGCTCTCGGAGGGCAGCGCCGAGCTGTGCTTCAGCACAGCGGCCAGCGCCGCCGCGGGTGCCTTCCCCTCCGGAGGACCCTCCATGTTCCAGCGGCCGCACTCCCAGATCACAGCCGCCCCAGGCCAGGCCTCCAGCGGCCTCCAAACGCACTAAGCCTCGACACGCGCTTCTGTACGACAGTGCGGGAAGTAGGGCTCGGGAAAACCTGCAGAAGGGGACGGGAAGTTGCTTAGTCACATGACCCTCTTTGATTCCCATAATCCAGGGCGCGTCCATGTTTGCGCGTGCGTTCCGTATTACGGAAGCCGCGAGGAGCCGTTTTTCCCTGTTTCTCGTTTTGACAAGCCTGAGATGAATGAAGAGTCCTACTTTCACTGCCGCCTGCTGGAGGCCCACCGCGTTGCGCGGCGCTTTCCTATTCGTTTCTGTCCCTTTGGGGAAGGAGGATGGCTTCTTAAACGTCGCCCTTGGATAGAATTCGAGTCATCAGGAAATGTCAGATAGTTTCTGCCCCTGAGCGTCTCTCGTCAAATGGTTTAGTGATCGCTCTCCGTACCTCGCAGGTCTCCAGAGCCTCCTCCATATGCTGCGTAACCCTCTGGTCTTCCGCGGGCTGTTGCAGCTGTCACTTCTTCTGGGAAGCCTTCCCTGACCTTCCTCTGGGTAAGGGACCTCCTCTGGGATCCAAGGCTGACCTCTCTTTCCCTCCAGCAAGACTGTGAGACCCTCGAAGGTGGGGTCTGTGTCTCATGAGTCCTCCTAGCCCTGCACAGGGTCTGGTCCGGGGGGAGTCTTTTAACCAGGCATTCTACAATTTATGGAGTCTATACTGTACGTTGGGCTCTGTGTTTGGCGCTTCAGATTTATCGGTGAAGGAGATGCAGACCCTGCCCTCCTGGAGTCCACAGTTTGGGGAGCGAGAAAGCTAACAACGGTAGTGGTAAGTGCTCTTGAGGATTAAAAAATGATGATGTGTCTTTGAGATAGGGGTGGATGGAGGGGGAGGTGGCCTTATTTGCAGGGACAGGTGGTTGGGGAAGGACACCAAGGAGGGGACATTTGAGCCAAGGCCAGAAAGCCAAGAAAGGCCCCATATGTGAATATTTGGGGAGGCCATTCCCCACCATTGGGAAAGAGAACTGCCAGTGCAAAGGTCCTGAGGCCAGAGATTAGCCCACTTGATTGGAGGAAGAGAACATTCTCCTTGACATCTTTGACAGTCCCCACTTGGATCTCAAGCTCACCACCTCAGTTCCCACTCCTCCTAATCCTGATCTCCCTGCGGTCTTCCACATCTCATCAAAGAGCCCTCCACTCAGCAAATAAGCCCTCGGTGCACCTAGTAGGCTCAACACTGGAGAATTGAGCTTGATGTCTTCCATTCTCTCACACCCACACCCATCCCTCAGCACCTCTGACAAGTTCTACGCACAAAATAGGTCCCAAATCCAGGTGCCTTTTTTTATTGATAGAATTTGACATATATTAGTTTCAGGTGTACAACATCATGATTGGGTATCTGTATCCAGGTGCTTCTCTCCATTCTCACAGCCTCCACGCTGGGCTACCTTCCCTCCAGTCCATCTCCCATCTATGGCCAGAGAGCTCATGAAACAGAAGCCAGATAAATCATTCCTTTTTCAAACTCTCTTACAGTGGCTTCTCCCTAGGAGTAAAATCCAGGGTCTTCACCGCGGCCTGCGAAGGTGCCTGCTCACTTCCCTGTCCTGTCCCACCACTTGCCCTCACTTCCTCCTCTCCGGTTACACCAGCGTCCTCACTGTCCTAGAACTCACCAAGCTCATTTCCTGACCACGGGACAATGCACCCACTGCTCCCGCTGCCTGAAATACCCTCTTCTCCAGCTTCTTCTCCTGAGTCTCTGTCTAAATATTACCTCATCCAAGAGGCCTGCTCTGACCACCCGATTCCACCCTTACCTTGCTTGTCATTGTCTCTCAAAGCACTTAATACATTTTGTTTGCTGTTGCCTGTCCCTCCCTGATGAGAACGGCAGCTCCGGGTGGGCAGGATTGTCTGGTTTCACTGCTGTTTCTCTAACTCTGTGCAGTGATCACATACTGTGATCTCAGCAAATATGCTGAATGGATGAATGAACCCACACAAGGGCATCAGGGTGATCCATGAGGAATGAAGGAGGGAAAGAGGTGGAAAAATGAATTCAGGGGCTCCCGGCTGGCTCAGTCGGTGGTGCTTGTGATCCTTGATCTCGGGGTCGTGAGTTTGAGCCCCACGTTGGGTGTAGAGATTACTTAAAGATAAAATCTGTTAAAAAAAAAAAAAAAAGTGAATTCAGAGCAGGTAGAAGGTGCCAGAGCAGACAGTAGTAAGGAAGATGGGTTTATTCTAAGTGGCTGGAAAACCATTGGAGAGTTTTAAGATTTTTTTATTTATTTGTCAGAGAGAGAGAGCACAAGCAGAGGGAGCGGCAGGCAGAGGGCTCCCTGCTGAACAAGGAGCTGGATGCAGGACTTGATCCCAGGACCCTGGGGTCATGACCTGAGCCAGAGGCAGACGCTTAATCAGCTGAATCACCCAGGCATCCCAACCATTAGAGAGTTTCAAAAAGGAATGAGAGACTCTGATTTTTTTCCCAATTTTTAAAAAACCTTTTATTTTTAATCTCTACACCCAACGTGGGGCTCCAATTCACAACCCTGAGATCAAGAGTAAGCGTGTTCCACTGACTGAAGCAGTCAGGCACCCCACCAATTTTCTATTGTGGTAAAACATATATAACATAAAATTTATTATCATGATCATTTTAAAGTATACAGTTCCATGGCATTAAGCACATTCACGTTGTTGTACCATCCATCTCTAAAATGTTTTCATCATCCCAAAATGAAACTCTGTCCCCATTAAACATTAACTCCCCGTCCCCCTCCCCCAGCCCCTGCCACCCACCATCTACTTTCTGTCTCTGGATTTGGCTTCCCTAGGGACCTCACATAAACGGGATCATAGATTATCGGTCATTTTGTGACTGGCTTATTTCACTTAACACACGTCCTCAAGGTTTATCCATGTTGTAATGTGATTTATTTTTTACCAGACCCCGCAGGCTGCCTTGAGGAGAACGGGGGCAGTGGGGAAGGGCAGAGCAGGGAAGACGAGGGCAGAGGCGCCTGCGCTAGTCCAGGCCAGCAGAGATGGGAGCAGGACCTGGGACATGCCAACAGACATGGGGAGAAGTGACCAGACTGAGAACCTAATTTGAAGTTGATCTGATGGCTCCTGAGAAAGGATCAGACGTGGGGCCACCAGAAAGAGAGGATCGAAGGAGTTGAAGATTTGGGCCAGGGAATTTGAGTGGATGGTGGTGAATTGGGGGGTAGAAGGTCTGGGGGAAGATAATCCCGAGTCCAGCTTTGGCCGAGCTGGGCAAGAGACCCCTGAGATCCCAGGATGACAGACTGAGGAGGCAGGAGGCTCTTCAGGTGGATCTGAAATCAGGGAAGGCTCAGGGATGGGGACAGAGGGAGCCATCAGCATAAGCAAGTGGACGGAGTTATCTGTGGATAAGATCCTGGGTGGTGAGTGTAGACAGAGGGGAGAGGCAGGGCTGCCCCTGAGCCAAGGTACACTCTGGACGTGGTCGGGGGCAGAGGCCAGCAAAGGAGGAGCGTTGGGGGCCATTGGCAGAGGATCAAGCAGGTCAGTGAGAGGCCAGGGCCCCTCCGCTCGCCCAGCCAAGGTGACATGTGACACCAGGGCAGCCACTGGGCCCCCTGGGGCAGGGACCCCCTCAGCTGAGGCAGCTGCTGCTGCTGGTGACATTTCACTCCATGAGTGTCCTGGCTTCAAAGTCTCTGCAGGGGTGGGGGAGGGAACGGAGCAGGGCTGGAGAGGCCAGGCTGGCAGGGGAGGGAGCCAGGGCCGGCTGCTGGAGGACTGAGCAGTCAGGCATCAGCCAGAGGCCTCAGCTGAAGTATGTGGTCCTGACGGGTCGGGGGCCCGCCACCCTCTTCCTACAGTCCCCAGGGGGCACACAGGAGGTGGTTAGGGGACTCTCGGGTAGCCATACAGCTCGGGGTCGGGAATGAAGCCCACTGCCTGTGACCCTGCTCACTTCCCTGCAGATGTCCAGCAAGGGGGCCACTGGCAGCGACATCGGGCAGGCCCGCCGGGCCGTGGAGCAGCTGCGGATGGAGGCGGGCATCGAGCGCGTGAAGGTGAGGGCCAGGGTGGCACGGGCCTGTCTGGGCGAGGGGGCAGGTGGCCAGCCCGGGCCTGGCTGACCAGGCTGGCCTGCAGGTGTCCAAGGCGGCTGCTGACCTGCTGCAGTTCTGCACGGAGCAGGCCAAGAGCGACCCCTTCCTTGTGGGCATCCCAGCGGCTGCCAACCCCTTCAAGGAGAAGAAGCCCTGCGCCATCCTGTGACCTCCACGGCCCCGACCACCCAGGAGGCCTCAATAAAAATGAAGTGAAGGATCCTCAGGACGTGGCTTGGCCAGGCTTCGGTGGGGGCAGAGGGGGCCTGCACTGGGGCCACCCACACACCTGGCGCAGCGCCCCCGTCCCCCACCAACTCTAGGGTCCTGGCCCCAGCAGCACACACATCCTGCACCCCCGGATGCATGAGCACGCACCTCCCCCACCCCCGTGGGGTAGCCTTAGCAGATCCCCTTGCCCACTGCACAAACACACCCAGGGTCAGAGCCCCAGTCTACGTGCCAGCACGCATCACACATGTCTTCCTGTCTCACACACACACACACACACACGTGCCATTATACAAACGTGTGCACATCCTCAAGAGCCTCCTCCCTCCTCACACACAGCCACGTCCAGCAGCACACAGATACACACAGACAGGGTTACGGTCACAGCGCGCACAGCCAGACCCACCTCCCCAGCGACACACACACACGTGGTCGTGAGCGCAGGAAGGCTTGCGTTCAAGCAGGTACACTCGCACCTCGATATAAAATAGCATCGCACAGACTCACACACCGCGCACCTCCCAGTCCCAAGCAAGCACAGGCAGGGCCCTCGGGGGACACCAGTACATCAGGTTTATTTCTCCTTTGCTCTCAAGGGAAAGCGGGTATTCAAATCCTAGCAAAAACAGGGCTCCAGGGAGGGGAGCAGTCCCCTGGGTGGGCCTGAACACCACGCTCACCTTCCCTGGCGCGGGGCACAGCCCATAGGGCACAGCTCACCATGGCCCGGACTCCTTGTGCCTCAGGGCTTCGGGACAGGGCAGAGGCAGCACCAGCATGCGGGGAAGGTCCCCCGAGAACAGAGGCCATGGCCCAGCCTGTGGGCCGGCAGATCCCCCTCCACATCGGCGTCTGCCTGCTCAGGCCTGCAGCCTCCAGACCTCCAGAGATAGGCCCCCGGAAGCGGCGACCACCAGGTTGCCCTCCGCGCAGATCTGGGAGGGCAGGGCAGAGGTAGTCAGGGGCGCTCTGGGCAGCTGGGCAGGGCGCATAGGGCAGGGCCTTACCCCATTCAGCACATTGTTGTGGTTTCGGGTGCAGATGGTCTTCGGCGGATCCGTGGGCACGTGCACCTGGTGAGGGACAACGGGCGAAAGGGCGAGGGTCGAGACATGCACCGCCGGCTGGTGGGGCCAGGGTAGGGAGGGGGCCTGTCTCGGGGCCTCACCCGGATGGTCTTGTCGGTGGACGTGGTGTACAAGGCCCCCAGCGAGTGTTTGATTCCTGTGATCTGAGACCTGTGGCCCACGTCAAAAGACTGCAGAAAGGAAGGACAGGGGACACTCAGGTAAGGGCTCGCCCAGGGTCCGCCTGCCAGCCACCCAGGGGGTCAGGAGGTAGGGAGGAGGCCCAGGGACAGTGGGGCAGGGGCAAGCTCCCCGGAGGACCCGGACAAGCTGGAAGCGGCCGTTGTGGTTGGCGAAGACGTGCAGCAGGCCCTGGTTGTCACCAGCCCAGAGCTGGGGCTCCTGGTAGGACATGCAGAGCAGGTAGGAGTCCAGCTGTGGGAGGGATACGGGACAGAGCAGCTCAGACCAGGCCAAGCCACCGCCCCGGTCCCTCTGGGCCCGCGGGGAGGGCCCACCTGCAGGCGCTGCAGGACGCTGTTGGCCCGGCGGTCGAACACCACGAGCGTGTGGTCCTCGCTGCCCGAGATGATGTGCCGGTCGTCCGCCAGCAGCGCCAGCACTGCACTGGAGTGCAGCCGCCGGCTCTTCAGCAGGGCCGGGCCGACTTCGGGAGTGATGCGGGAAGAAGGGAGACGTCAGAGCCCCCAGGGGGCCCCCCAGCCTACACGAGGACCCCGGCACCTATCGCACTTGGCAGCATCCTTGGTCTGCTGTGCCCACCCCCATCCCGTGCCTCTCCCCTCCTGTCCCAGCTGGGCCTGGGCCATCCAGCGCCCCCAGATCTCGGCCCTCCCACCCCCCATCCCAGTCCCGCCCGCTCAGTACAGCACAGCGCAGACCTCGGCAAGTCCCAGCAGAAAAGGCTTCCACCTGCAGGCAGGTCGGAGCCAAGCCGCCCCCTCACGACCCCCCCACCCGCCTCTGGCCCCGCCTGGGCAAAGACCCCCCTAGCCCTTCAATTAAAATAAGAATGAATAAAGAAAGAAACAACGGAAAAGGCTTATGTGCTGGGCAGTGTTTTCGTAGGCTTTTTACGTCAACTAACATTTAATCCACCAAGGTTCTTACTGTCCTCTCCTATTAACCCTATGGGGCTGGAGTTATTATCCAGATTTCACAGAGGGGGAGACTGAGGTTTCAAGCTTGACAGCTAGAAGTGGGGGAGCCAGGGTCCTAGGGGCTGCTCCACCTCCCACAGTATTGAGGCTCAGAGGGCCTCCCATCCTCCCTGACACCCCAGATGGAGGGGGGTGCCTCTGCCCCCAACCCACATCCTCCTCAAGCTGCCTTCCTTGTCCCAGCACAGCACGGGCCACTTGGGAGTGGTCAGCATCTGGTTGTGACTGTCATCCCAGCCAGGCTGTGAGGGCCAAGGGTCTCCATTCCCAGCACGACCCCGGAGACCCCAGGTGGCTCTCCTCTCCCCACCTGGTTCCCAGGGCCCCCGGCCCACCTCTGGGGTCGTAGACAGTCACTTTCTTGTCATAGGTGCCAGTCACCAGGATGTCAGGCCGGTAGGACAAGCACAGCACAGCCGCCTTGCCCCTGGGAACACACGGACCCCAAGGCTCGGGCTGTGACTAGGTGGGAACCCAGCCCGGCCCCACCTCCCCGCCCAGGACCCCACACACTTTATCTCGCCGAACTGCTGCCCATCAGCCGCCATGTCCCAGAGCTTCACCGTGCTGTCCCAGGAACCAGAGCACACGCGGTGGTCCAGCGCTGCCAGCGACCACACCCAGCCCTGCAGACCAGACCCCGTGGTCATCCCCATTTCAGAGGTAACAAGATTGAGGGTCGGAGGAGGGAGACGACTGACCCAAGAACCCAGAGCAAGTCCGCTCCAAGTAGAGGTCAGGACTTAGGTCGGTGGGTCTGACTTCAGAGCCGAGGAGCCGAGGACGTGCACGCCCACACAGAATGATATTCCTAAGTCAAGTCCCTGCCAGACTCAGCACCCGTGGTGGTTTGAGGCCACCTAACAATGTGACTAAAAGTGGGGCCTTCACTCCATGACCTGAGCGAATGAAGGGCTCTCCCTTGGTTTCTTCACTGGGAAAATGGGCACAAAAAAACAACCCCCGCCTCAGGAGCCAATAGGCACAAAGCACTGGCTGGTGACTAACTCATTCCTCACCAGACTCTCTGAGGAGAGTGCTGCGTAACTGTGTCCGTGCTACAAATGAGGACACTGGAGCACAGAGAGGTTGAGTCCCTTGCCCAAGGTCACACAGCCAGGGAGTAGCAGAGCGGGGATTTGAGCCCAGTGGCCTAGCTCCAAGACCAGGCTCTTGACCACCTGCCTAGACCACCTCAATGACTGGTGGTGGTGCTCCTGCACGGCCGCCTCTCATGAGCTGACAGCCATGCTCAGAGCTTTGTGATCCCCATGGGCAGCCTCGTAACTGCCCTGCCCTACGCCTCTCAAGGTATACCTGATGCCTCCTGAGTGCCTCTTGTGTATCCCAGCCTAAGCAAAGCTCTACGGCATATTCATCTCATTCATCCTCATCCTAACTGAGCCCTAGACACAAGTAGAAACAGAGGCCCAGAGAAGTCCTACATCTCACCCCAGTGTCACACGAGCAACGGCAGAGCAAGATTTAAATCTATGATGTCTGGTGCCAAAACTCATGCCCTTAACCATGGCACCCTACCCAGGCCCCACCCTTCGAGCCCCTGTCTGGCCTCCTAACCCCTCACCTTGTGGGTACTGTTCTTCTCGGTGCCCAGGGCCTTGACTAGAACCTGGCTGGGCTCCACCCCCAGCTGCCGCAGGTCCCACAGATTGACATTGCGATCTCGGGAACCTGACAGACAAAGCGCTCCACCCTAAGAAGAGAGTGAGGTGGTGGTGTCGGAGTCACCCTGGCCCACCCCTGCCTGCCCCCCACCGAGCCCCACCTCACCTGGAGCAGCAGCACCGAGTCAATGGAAGCAAAGTGCCCATCAGCCAAGCAGAAGTACTCAGCCCAGCGCCCATCCTCCGCCCAGCGCGACAGGTGTTGCTCCAGCTCGATGCAGGCTGTTGGCCAGTCAAAGTCCTCCTCTGTGGGGCATCGTGAGCAGGGTCCCCAGTGGGCAGGAATCCTGACGTCCACACCAGCTGTCCAAGCCCACCCCTGGCTTCCAGGAAGCCCAGCCTTCACCCAACTTGGAGAAAACCCCACGTGGATCCCTCACCCCACCCAAGAAGGCCCAGGATCTAGCTTCGGGACCACCAGCCACCCACCTTCCAAGCAGGTCTAGGACTACTCACCCCAGTGTCCAAAAATTGGGTAACTGGAGCCTTGGGACCACCTTCGCAGGCCTCAACCCCCAACCCAAGTGTGGAGGATAGTAGCCTCAGGATGTTAAGGTCCTGCCTCAATCCCTCAGGCTATGCATCAGAACTAGGACGTTTTGCCTCCATGATCTTAACCAAACCAGGGAAGTGTTCTCAAATTAGTGTCTGTAAACTTGGGAACTTTGTCAAGATGCAGAACTCAAACGCTTGCAGAGATTCAGTGGTATAATGGAGCTCAAGCAACTGTTTATCAAGCTGTTCAGGAAAGCCCCATCAATTCAAGGTCACCAAGCTGTCTTATCCCCCAGGGATCAATGACCTCAGGGGCAGGAGGAATTACCACCAGCCCCCTAAACTAGGCTAGACCCTGGGCTTGAGGATCGATCTGTGATTGCTGGTATCAGGGATCCTAACCTCTAAGATGTAGCTTGGGATCGAATGTTGCAGGCTCTGGGCTTTTAGTCCCTGCCCCAACCCTACCTAGGTCAAGACTGTAAGGGCGAGGGGCTTTGGCATCACCAG